CCTACCAGGTGACGATAAAGGTGAAGAATCAGGTAGAGTCAAAAAGAGAGAGGCTCGACTAACGACTCGGTTGTGGCAGTAGAAGAATGACGAGGGTAGAAGGAGCGAGACTCATCAAAAGTGACACCTTTGGAGATTCTCAGTCTTCGAGCAATAGGGTCCCAGCAACAGTAACCTTTGTGCTCCAAACTGTAGCCAAGGAAAACACATTCAACCGATTGAGCAGTCAATTTGGTGCGTTCATGAGGGTGGAGAAGAACAAAACAGGCACAACCAAACAGACATAGACCACTATAATCAGCTGGACCATCACCTAGATGATCAACTGGTATCCCTCCTTGAAGAGCAACAGAAGGTTGAATATTAATGAGATAAACAACGGTAGAGACAGCCTCAGCCCAAAAGTGCATGGGAACAACAGAAGATAAAAGAAGAGCCCGAGCAGTCTCAAGGACGTGATGATGTTTGCGTTCAGCCACCCCATTTTGAGCATGTGCACCAGGACAGGAATACTGAGGAAGGGTACCCTGTTCAGCAAGGAAACCACGAAGCGCACGAGATAGGTACTCGCCAGCCGAATCAGCACGAAAAACTCGAATAGAGGAATCATACTGAGTGCGAACCATGGTAGCAAACGACTTGTAAATTTGAAGCACTTGACTACGAGATGACATAAAGTAGATCCAAGTGTGGCGAGAAAAATCATCAATGAAAATTATATAATATTTGTGAACCCCTTTCGAAACAAAGGGCGCAGGACCCCATACATCAGAGTGAACAAGTTCGAAAGGTCGTTGAGAAACAGAATTACTAGAGGGATATGGAAGTTGTATCTGCTTGCCAAGCTTACAACCCATACAAGTTAGTGAACTATCACCAGATACAGACCCTAGAATACCACTCCTAACCAAAGAAGACAAGCGGGAGCCATAAATGTGACCCAATCGATGATGCCACTGAGCAAAGGATGTGGTGGAGGTGGCAGCTGAAGCAAAAGGGGTGGTGATGTCCGACTGGCTAGAGGACTCAACGAAAGGAAGGCGCAGCCAATCGAGCTCCCAAAGGCGCTGAGAGTCATGGCGCCGAGGACCGATCCCAACCAGAGTTCCCGTACGACAATCCTGAACACAACAAGAGTCAGAATCCAGAATAACACGACAACCCAAGTCAGTAAGTTGACCAGCAGATAGAAGTTGCATAGTCAGTTTAGGAACATGAGAAACGGCAGGGACATGAAAAGAAGACGTGGAAAGAGTCCCTCTTGCGGCAACAGAAAGAGAAGTGCCATCTGCAGTCTGAACTGTAAGAGGAGAAGGCACGAAATTGACAGCACAAAGATGATCTCTGTGTGGTGTCATGTGGAAGGAGGCCCCAGAATCAAGAATCCAGGGCAAAGATGTACCTGACGAAGAGTGCGGTGGTGGACCAAACCTCTAACCAGCAGAACCAGCAGAACCTAAGGATGGTGCAGAAGCAGTAAGGCGGCGCAGCAAGGTGAGCATCTCCTGGTAAACCTTCTCAAGGGAGCCCTCACGAGAATTAGAGGAGCCTCCTGAGTCCTTTTGAGGACGGCCACCACGGCGACCCTGTTTCCTCCTCTTGATGCACTCCATGATCATGTGACCATCCTGCTTGTAGTAGTTGCAGAAAGCACTAGTGGAGGTTGCTGCCACCTGTGTGGAAGAGGGCACACCAGGCAGCGGTGGTGGAACGCGGGCAGCCAGGACTGCTGAAGAGGATGGCAATAAGCCCGTCTCCGTAGGCGCACCTCCTCAGATCGCACCTCAGCAAGGGCCTCCAGAGTAGAGAGCCGAGGATGGCGTGCCAATAGCTGAGCACGACTCTGCTCGAACTCCGGCCGGAGGCGAGTGAGGAAGTCGTAGAGGCGACGAACCTCCAGCTTAGCTTGTTGCCGCACACAACACCGACATCTGCGACAAACATCAGCTCCCAGAGAGTCCAATTGGCGCCCTCCGGTCCATACTCCTTCTCTGTTTATTCACACTTCTCCTCGTGGTCGCACCCTTTTACTACTCTATGTTGATGACATGATTATCACATGGGCTGACCACCAATTCATTGATTTTGTGAAGAAACGTCTACATGAGCAATTCTTGATGACTGATTTGGGTTCTCTTTGCTACTTTCTTGGAATTGAGATCATTTCTTCCCCTGAGGGTATTTATCTCTCTCAAGAGAAGTACATCCAAGATCTTCTCACTCGTGCCCGCCTCACTGATCAGCGCACGGTTGACACTCCTATGGAGTTTGGTCTCCATCTTCGTCCTGGTGAGGGTGAACCCCTTGTAGATCCCACACGCTACCGCCATCTTGTTGGGAGCCTTGTCTATCTAGGCATCACTCGTCCTGGCATTTCTTATGTTGTGCACATTCTAAGTCAGTTTGTCTCTGCTCCCACTCAACTTCACTACAGTCACCTTCTTCATGTTCTTCGTTACCTTCGTGGTACCGTGACTCGTCGCTTATTCTTCCCTCGCTCCAGCTCTCTTCAGCTTCAAGCCTACTGTGATGCTACCTGGCCCAGCGATCCCACTGATCGCCGCTCTCTCTCTGCCTATTGTGTTTTTCTTGGCTCCTCCCTGATTGCCTGGAAGACCAAGAAGCAGACTGCTGTATCTCGCTCCAGTGCTGAGGCTGAGCTGCGAGCTATGGCGCCCGTGACTGCAGAAGTTACTTGGCTACGATGGCTTCTTCAAGATTTTGGTGTTTCCACTGCTACACCGACCCCTCTGCTCTCCGACAGCACTGGGGCACTCAGCATTGCCCGTGATCCTGTTAAGCATGAGCTCACCAAGCACATCGGTGTTGATGCCTCCTACACGCGTTCTCAGGTGCAAGACAGAATTGTGGCCCCTCAGTATGTGCCCTCGGAGCTTCAGCTTGCTCATTTTCTGACGAAAGCTCAGACACGGTCCCAACACAGCTTTTTCCTGTCCAAACTCAGTGTCCAAGATCCCCCTTGAGTTTGAGGGGGGGGGGGGGTGTTAGAACAGGGTTGTGCTGTGTGTGTAGTTATCACATTGTATAGGGGCTTCTTTGCTTATTTCCCTTCATGTATATGTGCTGGCCTGTTGGCCCGATAGAATATAGGCTCACTTCATAACGTGACCACTAATTTGCAGCTAATTGCAAGTGTAAATACTAAATCTATATGCCGACATGAAAGGTGCAACATTTTTTGACCGAATCAGTCCAAACCATCTAGAAAATTGATCAAATGGGATGAGAAAATAAGTGGGAACCTTGTACTTTGTAATTACTCACACACTAATTACTCTCTTATTTGCACAAGTATTCTTTTACTTTTATCAAATAATTTTCCTTTACTACTCAATGTCTCAATCCCATCTTTTTCTGGTTCAGTTTACAACTTGTGTTATTGTGCACGGTGCTCTCTAGATCCCTTCTCTCGGCTATGTATGACAATATATATAATTCATGTGATATACACACCTCCTCTCAGTTACACATGTCAGTATATATTTAGCTGCATATATATTGTGTAAGGTGTGCATGAGTGTGAAAAGTACAGGAGTTCCCAACTCTTACCTTACACCTTGTGTTCCATCAGGAGTACATAAACCGACTAAAGAGCATATTTTTGATGGATCGATCTGCATCATAGACCCGAAAAGAATATATTTATAATCCTAACATAGGACTTATCAAACAAAAACGTTACCTCTGAAAATGTTCGAACCTCCTTTAACAACAGATCTAGGATCCTCTGCCCATACTGAGAAACAACGGCCTTGCACTCTTGGCTGACTACCCCAGGTGCACCGATCTTTTCATTTATTTGAGTAATTATGGCCTGCATATTTCAATGTTGAATCACTAGGTCTAAGACACACAATGATTAATCTAAAAATGGAATATGCCCCCATCAGAGTAGAAACTATAAAGCATAGATAAGGATATTGCACATATTATGCTTTAAATGGTCTACCGAGTTCTATTTCACTGATCTTCACATTCTGTAATGTACCTATTGATCCAGACATGCTTTTAGAAGTTTTTAGTTACTAAATTTATTTGTAATAGTTCAAGAGCATCATGCAATTTGTTATATGTCGTAGTGCTTGCCCTTCAGGTGTAACTACCATAATTTAATCAAAATAAAGTCTATAAATATAATTTATCAAAGCATACACCTTGTTACAATGCATATTTCCTCTGCTAAAAGGTAAAACTCAAACCGAAAGCTTATGTTAAGGAATGACTCCTTTAGGTTGCTACAAATGTTTATTGTGCTGACTTGATATTGTAAAGCCATTTTCCTTGTTTATGGAGATTAAGATAAACAGAGGTCACAGCCATACTGTGGGACCAGAAAGCAATGAAGTTCCAGAATCTGCTATAGCTGCACAGCGAGACGCACATAATCCTAGTACATAGAGAGCATAAAAAAATATTATAAGCACTTTGTTATATACATATACATTGGCCATGGGTACTTTTTTGATAGGTCAGAGGTTACTACCCGTGGAATTTCCTCCAATCAAGACATCACCCATATCAAACTGCAAAAAGCAAGTCAAAATTTATCAGCACAAATCAGTTACCACCTTTTGAATTTTAAAATTACTCAACTAAGTGAAAGAGATCCACCTGCCAGTATCCCTTCCTAGTAATAGGGACGTATGTATGATCTCCGTTATGATGATTAAGATCAATTCCTCCAAACACAATTTCTCCCCCCTGCTATTTACCGGCATGTCTGTTCAACCACAATGAGAAAATAGGGCTACTAACTAGGCCTTGGCTAACCATGTTATACCTACAGGTTTTGTTGTGATGTTAGGGATAACGAATATGGTCTACATTTTAAGTAAGATATGCCAATAAATCAGAATAACCCTGAGTGCGGTATGTGGATCTTAATAATACACCATAAATTTTGCATAAAGTAAAATATTCACATCTATTGTTGACATCACCACCAAATATGCACAAGATATTTAGATGGAGAGACATGCTCACCAGACAGGTACACCATCACATTTCGAGATTTCTTTAAACCCAAGACCAAAAATGCCATCAAATTTTGCAACCATAAAAGTAATACTTGGTTCCCTCGTAGCTTCAATAAAATCCTAACATGGTACCATAATGAAATTAGTATACTCTAAAATGGGATGCGCATGATCAGATAGCATAAAATAAGTGTGCAATTCGGATGCAGGCATAAACCTGATTTTTCACAACTACACCACCAACTTGCACATTGTCCTGGCTAACATAGCCAGAAATTGCACCAGTTCCATACTGAATTACAACCATTTTTCCTGCCAAGAGGGGAAATAGAAATTACATTCTCGAATTAAACATAATTTGCCTGCTTGCTACAAGTTAATGTAAAAAAGGCCCAATGCCCAATTGGCTAAAAAGATCCTAATATAAGAAACATGCACGGAAAGTGTGTTAGAGCATCTCCAAAGGTTTACAAAAAACTCTCCCAATAAATGGATATTGGGCTCTCCCAATAAATTTCCGGAGGGTTTCCAGGTGGAGTATTTTCTTCAGAGCCCCAATAAAAGTTTTATGCCTAACTGTGACCATTAATTCTATATGCCTAAGTTTGACCATTAATTTTATCAATAAAAAGTAAGTTATATGCCACAAAAATGATGCCATTGGATGCACATTTGAAAGAACTTTCCCATGATATACTTTTGATAACATATAACCCATATTTTGTTGACCAAAATTATAATTCAAAGTTTGACACGAAAGTGGCCTTGTATGCAGAAATGGAGGGGGTATTATTATCTTATTATTAATATTGTTGTTGTTGCTGCTATGATGGTAGTTGGTAGTACTTATTTATTTCTCTATTAGTAGACTGTACAAAAGATGAAAGCTATAACTTTTGATGCAAAAGTAGCTAAATCTATGGCTACCACAAAACTCTTCCATGTTATTAGTTTTTAATTTCTCAATTCTATCACATGTGTGAATAATGAATAATGTATTGACTAAGCTGGCTAAACGTTGAAAGAGTACAATATAAAGCAGTCTCAATATCACCCTAGCAATGAAACCCAGCCAAACAAGAAATATGTACCAGTGATAATTATTTTGACTCAACACCCTATCAATACTTGAATACATAATTTGTATTTTTGACTAGCTTGTGCAAAAACGATGGCCTCTAAAAACATAAAGATTGATAAGAACTTGAAAGTAAATTTGTTCTCATGTTTTGAAAAAAAGAAGAAAATTTGGTCTCGCTGATGTGTAGCTAAAATTCGAATAACTTAGAATAAAAAATACAGATATTAGACAAAGTTTTATTTTATTTCAAAAATTAAGACTATATTCACTCCGAGCCTCTTCTTCCCGGTGTACATCCCATATTCCCTTTAAAGCCAGCTTCAAAATTTTCAACAAAGTAGCTACTAATGGGCTCACCACGGTTGCTAACCATGTCGTCCGGCCATCTCAAACGAATTTCATGCAAGGTAGAAATATACTCGATGGAATTATAATCCTACATGAAACCATTCACGAGATGCACCGAAAAAACATTAGTTGAGTAGTTTTCAAGATTGACTTCAGAAAGGCCTATGACTAGGTCAATTAATCATTCCTTTAACATGCCCTAATAATGAAAGGACTCTTCGATAATTGGCGTCAGTGGATCCAAAATTTTGTTACTGGAGGCAGTGTGGCTGTCAAAGTCAATAATGACATAGGTCATTACTTTCAGACGAAAAGACTACAACAGGGTGATTCTATGTCTCCAATTTTATTTAACATCGTTGCTGATATGTTGGCTATTCTTATTGATTGCGTCAAGCAGGATGGTTAAACTGCAGGTTTAGTGGCACACCTTGTGGATGGTGGTCTCTCTATTTTATAATATGTCGATGATACAATTCCTTTTATGGTACATGACCTGGCTAAGGCTCGAAATCTGAAACTATTACTTTTAGCATTTGAGCAAATGTTGGCCTTAAAATTAACTTCCATAGAAATGAATTATTTTACTTTGGAGAAGCCGGCGAGTATGATGACATGTTTGGTTGTGCGCAAGGTCAATTTTTGATTAAACATTTGGGAATACAGATTCATTATCGATGTCTCACTAATGCGGAGTGGAAACATGTAGAGAAGCGCTTAGAGAAATGGTGGAGAGGTTAGAAACACAAGTTGCTCTTTGTTGAAGGACGAGTGGTCTTGATCAACTCTATCATCATAAATATGGTTCCCTATATGCTTTTTTTTTCAACTCCCAAAATGATCTTGTTGATTATTTCAAATCCAGATTCTTTTGGCAAGGCACAGTGAAAAGAAAAGGTACAAACATGCCAAATAAAAGTGTGGTTTATAGACCGAAAGACCAAGGTGGACTTGACATTCATTCCCTACGGGTCAAGAATAATGACTTACTAAGTAAATGGTTGTTCAAACTACTTATTGAGGATGAAGTTTGACAACCCTGCTATGCAGTAAGTATGTAGGAAAAAATGACGTGTCCCGGGCCTATTGGAAACCTGGTGACTCACACTTTTGGGTTGGTTTAATGACGACGAAGAAACATATTTTTTGCTTTGGATTCTTCGTAATAAAAGACGAGCCAGAGATTCGTTTCTGCGAGGACAACTAGTTAAGCAATGCCAGCCTCCGAGATAAATATCCATCTTTGTACCACATTGTGCGTGATAAGAATGATACTCTTGCGCATGTGCTCAATTCATTTCCGCTGAATATTTCTTTCAGGCAGGATTTGATTAGCCCCCCGTCTTATGTCATAGCAAAATATGTTAGGAATCGATTAACCTAACACAAGGATGTGACATTTTTCATTGGAACCTCACTACATCTGTGCCCTTCATAGTCAACTCTATGCACTACGTGCTCACGCATTCAGAGGTCCCAGTGGATAATAACAAGAAAATTTGGATGTCAAAGATTCCACTAAAAGTTAAATCTGTATGTGGTATCTTTGGAGTGAAGCTGTGCTAACTAAAGACAATCTCGCTTGACGCAACTGGCAAGGAAGCAAGAAATGTAACTTTTGCACTCACAACAAGACAATTAGACACCACTTTTTCCAATGCAAGTTTGTCCGTTCTACATGGCCAGTCATCCAAATAGTGTCCAATTTGGATCCGCCTATAAGTGTTGTCAATATTTTGATCATTGGTTGGACGAAATTTCAAATAGATTCAGAACCCTAATAAGAGTGTGAGAATATGCCTTATTATGGGCACTTTGGCTATATAGAAATGATTTGATTTTCGTAGGCAACAACACATGTCCTTTGCGGTTTATTTTCTATTTTACACACTCGCTTCATACGTGGTCTACGCTACACTGGACGGAGCACCAACCGTTGTTCAAGGCGGTGTATGCGGTTGGAACGGGTGGCCAAGGAGGTATTTACCCAACATGAGTGGTAGCATAATCTCCAAATTGGTCCACCACCTCCTTCAACATAGGCATAGTATCCGTTCTATATGACTATACTACCGACCAGTGGCGGAGCTTGCACAAAATGGTTGGGCGGGCCAGGCTGTTAAGATTGCTACTAGTTGGTATTTTGTGATCCATGGACTGGCTATAATAAGAGGACAAGCTCCAGAGCTGGGTGGGCCATGACCCATTTGGCCTTGCCTAAGCTCCGCGAGTGCTGCTGATATGTCGCATTTTTATCTTCTTCTGTCAGTTTGTTAGTGTTTGCATCTTATTTATGCGGAGATGAAGTGTTGTTCATCATGTTTTGTATCCGCTTGATACTACATTTTGGGTTAACAAAAATGCTCTTTATCGAAAAATCAACAGAAACAAAATACTGTGGAGCTTGAGAAGAGATTACGATAGGAAGGGCCGAGGCACAAACCATTTCTTCTTGTACGTGCTCGACCGCTTGGCCTTGTAGCTCGCGTGGAAGTAGCATGCAATCTGCAGCATAAATTACAAAACGCGCACTCCAGATTAGTTAGTATGATAAACCAAACCGTGCAGAACCCTGAATCACGGCAGCCAACACGGGCGGGGCGCACCGAGAGGAAGCACTTGGAGGAGGGCACCCAGAGGTTGGAGCTGCCTGTGTCGAAGATGACGGTGAAGTTCTGCGGCGGCGTTCCGATACCGATCTCGCCGTGGTACTGAGCGTTGTGGTAGTTCTTCAGTGCCACGACGTGGCCCTTTGCCTCGGCGTCGCCGACGAGGGCGAGGAGTAGCTGGGCGTCGTCAACCGGACGCTTCTTGAGCGCGACGCGGACAAGGCCCTCCGCGGGCGTGGCGAGGAGGGCATGGAGGAGGAGCACGCTGGAGAGGAGGAGCAGGAGGTGGAGCGCGAGGCGGGGGGTTCCCATGGTTGCGCCGCGAGCTGCAAATTACAGAGAGAGAATACCGATGAAGTGGAGACCGGGAAAGGAGCAGACCACTCCGAACACGCGAAGAAGGGATCGCCTGGGGGTCAATTTATGAACTTGATCGGTGTGGCTACATGATCACCCGCACCGTTGGATCCTCCAGTGATGTCTCATTAGCCGTTGGATTCCGACAGGGTGATCACATCCCTGTGGTTTTGGGGTACCGGAATAGTATGTCGCAAATTCTGCGTGATCGATTGAAAAAGTTTTTTTTTGAGAACATCGATTGAAAAAGTTAATCCAGGAAGATACTGGACCACGGTTGTGTTCACGCAACAAAAAGATTTTGCAGTTTATACCATTCCCAAAAAACAAAAGTTTGCTTGTGCGTGCAGTGTTACTGGTGTCCGCCGCACAATCTCACAAAGCACGAGCAGAAACTCTCATGTCATGGTTGCAAAAGCAGAAAGGTCCAACAACAAAAAATGTCCCTCTTGATGACATTCATCGGACTCTTGCGGATTCCCCTGCCACACCACGTCCAGATGGACATCGGAGAAATGATTCAATTCTTCTTTTGAGATCAGACAAGTGTGTACTTCACTTGATCATGCTTTCGCTTGTGATCACCCTTTTCCACGTCGATCTGAGTTGGGGATGACATAACCGTGTGAGCTCACCAATTTCGTGTTGCTGCATGCATACTTTGAGGATGCATACAAAACTACGTTTTGCTAATAGTTTGTCGAAAGCACTAAACACTCCATTGACCGTGTTTTGATGCAAAATCTGACAGCAGGGCCGTTGTCAGTGCTGACGTGGCAAAGAAATATCACACTGTTTGACTGGAGGAGACTGACGTTAAGCATCATAGTCAACCCCTCCTCTTCCTCCGATCTACACCGGCCAGGGCTGGTCCCCTCTCCCTCGGACTGCTGCTCCGGCGGCAGGATGGAGGGGGACCCCGTTCCTCCGCTCTGTAGTTAGGGTTTGATTTTGTAGGTCGTAGTGCGCTGTTGGGGTGGTGGGAGCGGCGCCCAGACGAATAAGTTTGCCTCAGCTCCACTCCTACATCGGCGGTGTCCTTCATGGTGGCGTCTCGTAGTCGATGTCATCGTGTGTTTGCCGATCCTTCAGATCGGCAGCGTTAGTGTCCATGGATGTGTCAGCGAGGCGGCGGCGATGACCCCTTTAGGTGTGTCTCTCCTTCTGCTATGTCCCTGTTGTTGCGCATTTTCTCCGTTGTCACGGTGGAGCAGGGAGGTTTTGTCGTCCAGGAGTACGTCCAGACGGTTGTCTACGCAAGTGATAGCTGGAAGAAGGTGCATCATGTGGTGGGCTGGTGGTTGGAGGCCGACGGTTCTGGTTTCCTTCTCCGACGCCGTAGTCGTGTAGGGGTCACTACTAGGGAAAGCCCTAACAGTAGCGCTGATTTTGTGCTCACTGGTAGCGCGGGGAGGCGCGCTACTAATAAGACGCTACAGCTATTGCTTAGCAGTAACGCGTGCCCGCACGCGCTGCTGCTAGGACAAATAGCTGCAGCGTTTGTTCACTCCCACGCTACTGCTAATGTAACTGGTGGCAGCGTGTTTTCTCTCCATCGCTACTAGTATTCTTTTTTTATTTTTTCATTTTTAGTGTATTTATGCGCCATCGTACAAATATTGGTACAATACCAGTTATGAGGTTTACATCATTATGTCCATAACAATGTGTCAAATGAAGGTGTATTAGGTTCAAGTGGAGGCAATATGTGGTGCATGTCAAAAGTATACTACTAAACCAAACTTGATCTAGTTTGGACTAGCAGTACTTTCGATGTGCACCACATATTGCCTCCACTTGAATATAATCCGCCAACACAAGCTATTTAATCATCATCATAGTCATAACATCAACAGTAGTTATTTAATCATCATAGTCATAGTGTAGCACATCATCATCTTCAAACTCATTCTAGCTAGCTACTCACCACCAACACTAACTGCGGTAGCTATCTAATCACCAGCAACACTAGCTAATAAAAATCATCAGTCATTGTCACCAACACTAGCTAATCACTCCTGCTGCTCTCTCTCAGGTAAAATAACATAAAACATGTGTAGCACTCATTCTTCATCAAGTTGGAGCATACAGATGAACCTGTCTCCTAATTGTGGGCTGCGCTTCTGATTGCTATCCCCTAGTACTTCTCTGCCATCGTTCACAATTTTGCTCCAATCTTTCACTATTAAGCATTCCTTGCTATTAGAAATCCTAAAGTGCATTATAGGATATCTTGGCCATAAGCTAATAATTCTCATCTGACCTTTAGTCTTGATCCAATGAGGCACAACATTCAGCGGGAGTCCCTGTTGAAGAACATCGTATAGTAACATACTTAGCAATGAAGTTTAGCTTAAAAAACAATGTATGCGAAAGATGCACTGAGTACAAATAGTAAAAATCTTACCATCTTTCCTAAATAGATGTGACCGTATTTCGATATGAACACTATTGGTCACACATTTTGAGTACTAAGATTTGCAAGTCCAAAAAATAATTTGTCTTGACAGTATGAAGATCCTCAAGCAATGAAACATAATGACTTATCTCCTCACAGTTTAGTTCAGCCCCGGGACAGTAGTAGGTCCTGTCTACCAAGCGCTGGACATGTTTGCTTGATTGGAAATAAGCTGTCAATAGAAATTAGTTGTCAATTATTTTTGAATAAACAATATCAAAGACATAAATATGATTGAGAAACTCACATTTTGATAGAACTGGAGGCGTCTGCACATCGACCCAGATGTCGGTATTACCTTCAATACCATCTTCCGGACGAATATCAAAAGTGATAACCATATCAGGCTCAAATGCATAAGTCTTGCATAGTGCTCGCCATGTTTTGCATCCAAAATAGGTGTAGTCGTCTTCGTTGTATAATTTTGCATGGAAAATATAACCATGTTCGGTCTTCAAATAAACTCTCTTTACCTCCATAGTAGTTGTCATAGAACTGAAACCTATCTTATCCAATACAAAAATTCTTGCATGGCAGGGGATACACTAGTAGAATAGTAAAAAAATATATAAGTTGAAGCAAATGAAGCAGATGTCATGCTTAATTATGAAAAAAGACTTGTCGTTGTGACTTACTGTATCCACTTCGAAGTTCTCGTCCAGCTTGATGCTGAAGCGCCTATCATCATCTAGGAAGATTCCGTCGCACAGGCCGCGCTTGTCTTCGCAGTATTTGCAAATACCGGAATCTTTTTCATCGTCAGACATTTCCTATGTTCATAGTTAAAACATTAATTGAAAATTGATCGAAGACAACTACCAAGATACTCAACACACAAATCTGGGGCACTCGATATTTCCTACATATTCTAGCACAAGTCATGCCAAAATTCACGGAAAAATCCGGCATGACCTTTGCTAAAATAGGACATATCGAGCGCCTGAAATTTGCCGGAACGGAAACGAATCAACACTCCGGCAAAACATATGCCACTCGGAGGTGTAACCTGCAAACATGACCGGCCACTTGGGCAAGCACATATCCTATTTGAGCAACACAAGATATACATTTCAAAATATCTTATAGGACTCAAATTAGCATGCATTCAATAAGCATAAGTAAATCATCTCACGCGTCCGTACATCGTCGAATATTATCACTAATACATCCCGAATAGTGTCATACATATAACATCACTAATACAACTAAAACCCTAGCACACGATGGGTATCGGCGTGGGCGGTGGACACCCACAGAGAAGGAACCATCACGGGATCATAGCTCCAGTGAGATCCCTGGAGAACCTGCCAGATATTGGAGAACTTGTGCTCCAACGCAAACAAGTAGCGACGGACGTGCGCGTCCTCCTCACTGACACGGTGACGCACCACCTCCGCGGGGTCCTCGAGCCTTTGGACCGTCACTGGCCCACGCGACCGCCACCAAAGAAGGTTAGGGTCAACGATAGGCTGGCTCCTTACCAACCTGCACCCCCCGGTAGGTAGCGCCTCCCAGTACCACCCCGGCGGAGCCCAGTCCCGGACATGGCCCATCTGGTCAAGCAGGTGTCGTCCTCTGCCGACTCGACGACGAGGATGCGGGATATGCATCGTCCACGTCGATGCGGGAAAAATTGCTTTAACTAAAAAATATCAACAAGTTCTTACTAACTAGTTCTATTAATTCAATTAGTTCTTACTAAAATAAACTTACTATAAATAAAAATAAACTAGTACCTAATTAGTACCTAGTTCTTACTAACTAATTAGTACCTAGGAACTACTGCCCTAATTACCATATAAGTATCCATTTTTAACTAGGGTTCGTCCTACCTAATTAAATAGGGTTAATACTAATTGTAATTAACTAACTAGCACTAAAAATAGCCTAGGGTCCATACTAACTAGCACTAAATAGCTAGGGTTCATACTAAGAAGAGAAGAGGGAAGGGGAGAGTGCTTACAGAGGGCGGGGAGAGAGATGTGGTCGGGGGAGACGGCGGCACCGAGGCGCGGCGAGGCGGGGTCAGGGGAGACGGCGGCGAGGCGGGTCGAGGGAGACGGCGGCGAAGAGCGAGGGCAGGGGCTCCGGCAAGGTCGAGGTCGAGGAGGAAGAGGCACAGGCGCGCGACGACGTCGAGGGGCAGACTTTGGCGGAGAACGAGGGCAGGGCCTCCGGCGAGGGCGAGGGGAGGGGCTCCGGCGGAGGCGACGAGGGGGAGAAGAGAGAGTGGGAAATTTGGGGAGGAAGCAGAGGAGAGGGAATCAGGCCACGCGGGGGGTTAGGTGAAAATAGCTTTAACAGTAGCGTGGGGAGCGAAAACGCGCTGCTGCTAAAATCCGTAGTAGTAGCGCTGTTTCTAGAAGGGCGCTACTACTATACCTAGCACGTCGGGAACGGTGTGGCAATTATAGTAGTAGTGCGTTCTTTTCCTGCCGCGCTACTGCTAAGTGGGTAACAGTAGCGCCCTTTCAGCCGACGCGCTACTGATAAGTAG